CCTTCTCCCTCTCCCTCTGCCCCCCTGCTCCTGCTCTCTCTCACTCTCTATCTCAAATAAGTAAAATCTTTAAAACAAAACAAAAAAACAGTGTCAGGAATGTCCACAGCAGGTCATCAAAATTTGTTCAGTGAGGGGCGCCTGGGTGGCTTAGTCGGTTAAGCATCTGCCTTCGGCTCAGGTCATGATTCTGTAGTCCCAGGATTGAGCCCCGCGTCGGGCTCCCTGCTCAGAGGAGAGACTGCTTCTCCCTCTGCCCCTCCCTCCCCCTATTTGTGCTTGCTCTCTCACTCTCTCAAATAAATAAAATCCTTAAAAAAATTTTGCTCAATGAATGAATAAGTTGAGTTAGACTTAATTTCTGACATTCTAATTCAGAACTTGGGTAATGCTCATGTAAATTCACAAGTCATTATTCAGTAAGTTCCTGGTCAACATGTTGCATTTTATCTGCATATCCCCAAATAATCAGGTAACAGTATCTGTGCCATCATCTGTGATGGGGCATTTGTTCATAGAGAGGATGGGTATGGGTAAAGGAAGCAAAATTCATACTTAACATGAGGCCTTGTGAAACAAACACAGATTCCTTAATCACAGTAAACTGTTTTAATTCTGATGTTATAAAATGGATGCACTAAGATTGCTGAGGATATATTCAGGTGCCTGTGATAAGTACAGAACATATAAGAAAGCAAAGTCCTCATGTCATATGCACTCTTCAGGGCTGAGACTGTGGACAATATGCTCTTATTGTTGTCCTGGCCCTTAACTGTTCATAGCAATACCACCACTAAAACCATAGAAGCCAAGACATATTTAATTTTTAAAGCCTTGAAACAAGGCCAGTTTGGCTTTGAGACAGCTCAGCTACCGGTTTCTTGAGCTCCGTGGGCTGTCTCAAATGCTTACCCACTATCTGACCCTTTTGTACTGCCAGGTCAAGGCAAGATCAAACTGGAACATGATTTCGTTGAACAGCTTCTTTTGGTTACTTGGAGAGAAATTGTAGGTCTACTGGGTTATCATAGGATCATTGCTTGTTCTCCTTATCGATGTTACCGAGAAGGAAATGGTAGAAGTAATATTGTCAGACAGGAGATGTTGTCTGCTGGGCTTCATTGGTGAGTTTATCTTCCCTGGCAAGGGATATACTTGATGCCCTTCCACAGCATCCCCGACAACTCAAATACCATGCTGTGATAGTTAATTTTTAAAAAATATTTAAAATTTAAAAAAGTTTTGTTTACTTTGTTTTTAAAGATTTTATTTATTTTAGAGAGAGAGCATGTGAGTGGGGGTGGGGCAGAGGGAGAGGGAGAGAGAGAATCCTAGGCAGGCTCCATACTGGTTGGGACACGGTCTCATGACCCTGAGATCATGAACTGAGCCAAAATCAAGAGTCATACTGCTTAACCAACTGAATCACCCAGGCGCCCCTAAATTTTTTTATTTTTATTTATTTTTATTTTTATTTTTTTAGTAAACAACCTCATCTTTTATTTGCCCAAGGCCAGCTGTTGCAGGCATTGAGGCCCCAAGACTTCCAGAAGGGATGAAGGGAGGAGGGGCAAACCATCCTGCTTACCAATTGCTGCCTGCCCCCATCCTCCTTCCTGCAGGAGGTAGGAAGGGAGATAAAGTCTACATTTGTGCCATCAAGGATCAAGCCTGCTTTCAGATACTTATAAACGTTCAGTTGCTGTGGAGGAGGAAACTGAGGCACTCTGACCCCCCAGGCCTCTATGTGCCAGTCCAAGCTTCTGCCCGCTCCTCTTTCTCTCTCTCCAGAATGAGCTGCAGGCAGCCTTTTGCTGGGGAGGGTCTTAGGAGCCCATCTGGTGGCCTGTGGGGTGGGAAGGCCAGCCAGGGTCAAGGGCTGGGGATGGGGGGGCAGGAGGAGGGGTGTGGTTGGAAGAGCAGCTGCTGGGAGCGGGGAGTCAGCACTGAATAGGGGACCCCAGCTGGGGTTTCATAATGATATCAGTGGGGGACAGCCAGAGCCTTCTGCTGTCTAGATGGGGAACCTGAGGCAGAGACTCCTCCCATCTTGGAGAAGGGAGGGGCCTCCTATCAGCTATTCCGGTCCATTCATCTTCTCCACGAAGACACTACAGCCCGGGAGCTGGAGTGCCTCGTCAGTGGTCACTCAGTGTTTAGACTGAGACACAAGGAGTGGAAGGCAGCTGGGTCACCTGGCCAGGGAGCCTGCTCCTGTTGTGACAAACCGGAGGGGCGCCTTCCCCTACCTCAGCTGCTGGGGAGAGAGGCAGGGCTGAGCCTGCCCAACCCCACTCACGTGTCTGAGAAAGGCTCATTTTTAGCACCTGGCCTCTTTTCCCTGCCTGGAGGGAGCTTGGGGGACAGAGCACGGAAGAAAGCGGCCAAAGGGGACAGGGAGACCTGGAAGTAGGGCCCCAGGGGATGTCTGATTGTGCTCTTCTCCCCACCCCAAGGGAACCCGGGCTGAGCGGGGCCCTCGGCCACCATGCAGCATGGATATGAAGAGGATGCTGTCCTGGTCCTGCAGCTGGTAGTCCAGCTTGCCCAGCAGTTCCCAGTCCGCATCATTAACCAGCACCAGAATTCCTGGGCGCACGCTGTCTCCCTGGATGAACAACTCTCACTGCTCTTAAAGCAAATTCTTCTTGATCCAGACAAGGAGGTTCCAGAAGTTCCAGGGCTCCTCCTGTCCAGGTAAGGTGACCTGATGTTTCTTTACGCCGTCAAAAAGGAGCTCCACACCACCTCCGAACTCCACCTCCACTGACAACGGCGCTGCTGTGTTGAGGAAGCCCAAATTTTTTTATTTTTAAGTAGACTCCACGCCCAGTCTCATGACCCTGAGATCAAGACCTGAGCTGAGATCAAGAGTCAGAGGCTTACTCGACTGAGTGCCCCTATGATAGTTAATTTTATGTGTCAACTTGACTGGGCCATGGGGCGCTGTTGGTCAACCATTGTTCTGGGAGTTTTTGTAAGGGTGTTCTGGGATGAGATCAACATTTAAATCAGTAGACTGAGTAAAGCACATTGCCTTCTCCCATTGTGGGTGGGCCTCATCTAATCAGTTGAAGGCCCAAATATAACGAAAGGACTCTTTCTCAAGTAGAGAATTTTCCTGCCTGACTGCCTCCAAACTGGGGCATTGGCTCTTCCTGGGTTTTCAGCCTGCTAACCTTCTAAAAGGAACTACTCTATCAGCTCTTAAGGGTTGAGAACCATAAGAACCATTCCAGACTCAGACTGGAATGAAATCATCAGCTTTCCTTGGTCTACAGTTTGCCAACCCATCCTGCAGATCATGAGACCTGCCTGCCTCCATAATTGCATAAGCCGATTCCTTATAATAAATCCCTACACACACACACACACACTCTCTCTCTCTCTCTCTCTCTCCTTATTGGTTCTTACTGGAGAACCCTAATACATATACCCATGCCTCCTGTCTAATTTTCAAGAGCTCACATCCCAGTCCCAACAATATATCTGCCAGATGAGTACTATGATGGCCAGGAACCCTAAAATGAGAGGACAAACAACACGGGGCCGCACCAGAAGGTCAGACATGATTTGTCAGCCTTTATTAACCAAAAGCAAAGCCGAGCCCTAGAGTTTCCTTTTAAAAAACCCAACCTTGTTTATGGTAAACAATGATTTAATTATATGTTCAATACTACAGAGCAATAATTGATCACTTTCTAATCACTTATTCTTCTGACATTAAAATACAAGTGTAAAACGGTTAACATAAGATTCTCCCCAATGATTTAAAAACAACTCCAATTGAAAGACATTTCAAACACTATGTGTAGAACTCAGAACCAAAAAAAGACTTTAAAACATTTTACCTTTGAGGTAGCACAATAATGCTGAATTAGATTTCTTTTATTACAATGAGCTTAAGAAAACAATGAGGAAATCTACCTTTTGCTCAAGGTGGGCTAAATGGTTTTCTGCAAATACCCCATGAGGTTAGTGACAGTTTTCTCCTTTCTCTCTCTCTTTTTTTTTTTAAAGTATAAAGATAGCCCTGCAGTGTGTAAAAGGAAACCCACAGGGGAAGGCTGCTTCCCATAAAATAGACATTAGAATCATTGAGGAACGTCAGCAGTCAAGACAGGAGTAACAAGAGGTAATTGTAGTGAAAAACCAAAACAACTTGTATCTTGGCAAGACTGGTTTACAAGTGTATGTCAAGAACAAAAATTCCAACATCAGCCAACTGAAAACAAAAGATGACATTCATGGGTCTTTTTCCTTTTTCTCTGTGCAAAAATGCTCTTTCACTTTTTCCAAATGAGAGAAGACTGTTTCTACACTGCGACTTGACATGGAAATGCTGTGTGCCTAGGGTGCCGCTGGGCACCAGTGGCACCTCTCACTGATTACCACTGTGAGCAGAGAATCTGGGCATTAAGGGGATGAACATGACCTCTCCTGGTCGGAGAACCATTTCTTGCCACTTTGCTGAATTCACTCATTAAACTGCTCAAAGAAAAGATGCACCCTGACTCCTGCGAATCTACAGCAATTATATGTAAGACTATCAACTAAGAGGACAGCACACATGAACCCTTCCTTCAGAGACTACAACCAAAACAAGAGAGTGGGTGTGATAAACTGGGGCTAGAAGAAAGGATAATACTGTAGGCTGGGCCTCAAGGCTCTCAGGAATATTTTCCATCATCCCAAATCAATAGCAAAGCCGGAAAGAGGGTGTGAAGCTCTAACCCATGGAAGAGAAGAATATAAAAGGGATCTCTTCCCAACACACTCTTCCCCTTGAGGCTCAACCAACAGTGCAGGGCTTGCCAGGCATAATGTGGACACCAGAGCCCTCAGTTGAGCTTGGTCTGCCACCTCTGATTCCCCATGCTGCAAAGAGAACTGGAACCCTGTCAGACTCCTGGCACTATTTCACTCACACTGGTCCCTTTAAAGTCTTCCTTCCTCAAGCCAGACCCCCAAGGGGTGCTGTATGCAGTGAGGATCTATACTCATGAGAGGACTTAAACCTGGATGAATTCTACTCTGTAAAACAGCAACCATCAGTGAGTTGGGGGTACCAAAGAGGCTTCTGTGAAGGGGGAAGACTGAACTGGGATGTGCAAGAAGGCAGGATGAGAAGCCCATGCCTAGCAGCCTGTAGGAGTGACCCTGGCACTAAGCTCCCAGCCAGCCCTGACTAATGCTGGCATGGGGGTGCAAAGGGGGCATCTGCTCAGTGTTTAAACAGAGTCCTTGAATAGAGGGGGCTAGACCTCTCTGACACTCCTGAAGCTCACTGTACCTACTTTTGGAAGAAACAGGTGTGATTCTTGTCTGCTAAAGTGCAAGATCTGCTTTCTTAATTTATTTGATAATAAAGCAACACCCTAGAAAAGAACAACCTTGGAAAATCGTGGGGAAAAAAACCCACATGGGCTTTCCCATAGCTAGCTGCCTGTTTTGGGGTATTAGTTACAACCTTTCATAATTCTGGGAGCTGCAATGCAGGCTACCTAGCTAGGGCGGTCTGAAAAGAGTCCTTCTGCTTTCACTTCACGGAACACAAGAAAGAGACTTGACCAAGGTTGTGGTGGGTCACCACTCTGGAAATCCCTCCACCACGCTGTCCATGGCAAAAGCAGAGAGCCCGGCTTCTATGGACAATGGAAGTGACCATGTGGGCTCCATCATTATCCTACAACAGGAATGACTCAAGCCCCAGCATGCAATCTCTTAGGGATTTATTGAGTTACACAAGTTTAAAAAGTAAATCATATTGGAAAGGGCCTCTTGATTTAATATAACCTTGGCTACAATATTCAAATTTATCTCTATGCAAACTTCACACTGCTCTTAGGCTCTCTTATAGCATCTAAGTCATTCTCAAAAAAAAAAATTTATCCTTAACTATATCTAGTTAATTAGGATAATTCATCACAATTCTACTTGATATAATTAAAAGGTTAAAAAGTTTTAAAATACAAGCTAATTTACTTTCCTCTGGGGTTAATAATTGGAACCCCCAATATCCCAACACCTTAATTAGAAAGGTCTTTGCAGTAATTCCATGAAATAGTGAATGATTCCGATTTTTAAAAACAAAGAGTTGATCTTCAGGATGAATGCCTGAGTCAGCTGACACACTGATATATATGACCAGGTCCAACGGGAATTCCCCAAATACAGAAATAAAAATTTTTTTAATTTCAAAAAAATAGCTGCTTCTTCTTTAAAGAGTTTAAAAATTGATAGTTCAACAGCAAAGCCATGTAACAACACTGGAGAAGGAAAGGGCTCTCTTGGTTGTAGTACAACCTCTTGCTGGCACACTGCCATTATCAGCTGGTAGGGCAACTGGAAACAAGATGGCAGGAGTTGCCCAGGGAAGTATTTGGGTCAGATAAAGTCATGGCACATCCAGACCCTGGCTCCTTAGAAACGGACAACAATTCATTCATGCAAACCGCACAGAGAGTAAATAAAACAAAACAAAATCTACTGAAACAAAACAAAACAAAACAAAACCCCCAACCCAGAAAACCTTCCCTGGCTCTCCGCTACCTGAAGAATGTGCTGAACGCAAATTCTCTGCTCTAACACGGGTCTTCATGACCAATCAGTGTGCTCTGGGGTGCTGAGCGGCTGGGCCTGGGGCAGGGCCTTCCCCCCAGCATCGCTGTGAGTTTGGAGATAGCTGTCATGGGTGCCCCAGGCCTGCAGACCTCCAGCCTCCCTGCCACATCTTCTACTGTAAAACCGAAGGCTACCAGTGTGAACAAATGCGGACTTTCTCAAAGGACAAACGAGAAGATCAAGGGCTATGACAATTCCTCCCTTGAGAAAGGTCAGGGGCAGGTGTCTACAGTTGAACACAGCTCTGTGCAGACCTGTGGTGACTTCCAACAGCAATAGTAGCAGCCAGAGAGGAAAGGAAGATGATTATGCTGTGGACTTTGTATCAGGCACTTAAACTGTTGGAGAGACATGCCATTGTGAACCAAAGATGTGACAACTGGGTTGGAATAATCATTACGAGTGGTCTAATAATGGGCTTTCAGAAGCAAAGTGGAGGAGGTGTGGGCTGAACCTCGGCCCATCTTGTAGTGCTGACTTTCAAGTGTCCTACATGCCCATGGCCACAGCGATGGCAGCTGGCGGCAGCAGCAGCAGCAGGAACGGGTCTGTTGTGTCTGTCTTCTGTGTGCGTTCTGTGGCTGACTGGGAGGTTTTGGTGTCACACTGAGAAGGCTCTGGGCTTCTGCCTACTGCCCGGGGTCAATCAGATCCATGCTGGAGCCAAACATCTTCACCAGCTGTTCCTCGTAGTGTGAGATGTTCCTCTTCATGATGTCCATGCAGGGCCCCAGAAGCCTCTCAAATGCTTGTACGTCCATAACTGCATTGTTAAAAAGAGGCGCGAGAGAATGAATTCTCTACACCAATAATTCAAAGTCATTTCCCTGATGCAAACCTTTTCTCACATATACCCGTTCACCTCGGGGAATCAGACTGGGGGATGCTGGGTGCTTGGAAAAAGGACGGATGTTTCTATGTGAGCACAGCCAGACTGTGTCATCTGTTGGCAACTTTGCAGAGCCCAACAGCACCTACTCACTCGGTCCCAGCAGAGCCCTGGACACCTGCCTCCGTGACTGCTCTTCTCACAGGCTGTCCTCACTCAGTGCTCAGAAATGTCTGCTCAAAGGGTACATTCACCCATTTCTAGTTAGTCCCACAGACTGTTCAAGCCTAGATGTATGTGAGAACTGGTGAAATGAGTCAAGGCTTACTGATGGGGAAAAAAAAATACTGTGTGTTAGAAAAAAAAGTATTCGTGCATAAAGAATTTATTTTTCTTACCTAAGCATTTGACATCTCCTACTGCATAAGCTGAAGCAGCTCTGGGTTTGTTGGTGACCAGTGCAAGCTCTCCAAAGTACTGCCCCTTATGGCAACGGGCAATCTCGACCTCCTGGTTCCCACCATCCTTGTTTGCTTTAGTCTAGAGCAAGTGGAAAACATGACCTAGGCTGATTCCAGAATCACAGCTGAGCACATCCAGTTACACACACTTGCATTCCCTTCTCAGGACACTTAAAATACAATTATTGAGAAATTCACTTTGCGGAGACACTAACTGTACCATGTCAACTGCAGGGGCTAATTCATCTCAGTGGTCTGGTTTATTTTTTTTATTTTTATTTTTCAAAGATTTTATTTATTTATTTGACAGAGAGAGACACAGTGAGAGAGGGAACACAAGCAGGGGGAGTGGGAGAGGGAGAAGCAGGCTTCCTGCTGAGCAGGGAGCCCGATGTGGGACTCGATCCCAGGACCCTGGGACTATGACCTGAGCCGAAGGCAGACGCTTAACGACTGAGCCACCCAGGTGCCCTCAGTGGTATAGTTTAATTAGAGGAGTTGGCTTTTACCTAGGCCTTCATCCAAGGCCCAACACCTTTCAGGTAATGGCTAAATATCAAGAGGTAGGGAGCAGACCATTTTCTTTGGAAGATTTATATGTATCTTCCAAAGGAAAAAAAATAATTATTATAACATACATTATATATATTATGTCAATATATATGATCATATTATAGTGTCAATTATATATTAATACATATATATTTTTGCATATTAATATAATATATATTTTTACGTATATATTTTATACATTATACATTTACATATATTATATATGTGTGTGTATATATATATATATATATATATATATATATATGAATGCTGTCCTTTTGGTAGATGCTGACTTCTAAGGTACAAGGGAAAAGACAAGATCTTTTGTTAATTCCTGCTAAATGATGTCAATGTTTCTCTTAGGTAAAGTCACAATCCCGGGTCACTTCTTTTTTATTTGAGACCATGCCTTTCTCGGACAATACTTTACAGTGACAAGTTTTCTTTTTAGGTACTGCCTGCTCTGTAAGTTAGTGGTTCCCCACCCCCCCACCACATGCATTTTTTTTTTTAGAAGAGCTAAGTGACTAAAAAAATTTTTTTATAATGTTCAACCTGGATATTTAGTGCTTTAACTCTGTATTAAGAAATCAAGCAGGGGGGAGCCTGGGTGGCTCAGCCAGTTATGCGTCTGCCTTCAGCTCAGGTCATGATCCTGCGATCCTGGTAAGGAGCCCTGCATCGGGCTCCCTGCTCAGTGGGGAGTCTGCTTCTCCCTCTCCCTCTCCCCTCTGCTTGTGCTCTCTCTCTCAAATAAATAAAATCTTAAAAGAAAAAAAATCAAGCAGGTTTTAATTTGTGCTTATCAAATTATGGAAAATAATGTAGCATATCACATTTAATATCTAGAGTTTCCTTTTTTTTTTTACAAATCCATCTGCTAAGCTAAGCAATAATTTCAGTAAAAAATTATTTAGAATTTATTAGTAAGAATTAGTCTCAATCTCTAAGAGCCACTTTAGGTTATAGGCAGAAAATCCTCCTTCCACACTTCTGCCCCAACCTGTTTGCTCTGAAGTTGATCTGCTCCATCAGAGCCAACACTCTCCTTCCAATTTCTGTAGCATTCTCTGGGACTGCAGCTGCGTTTGTGCCCAAGTAGTCCCTTCTTTAGAGTAGCAGTTAACACACTGTCATATGAACACCAGCCCCCCGGGGATTTGTTACAATTCAGATTCTGATTCAGTAGGTCTGGGGCAGAGTCCAAGACTGCATTCCTGACAAGCTCCCCCAACCCCCAGGGCCACAGTGCTGCTGGTCCCACATACCCAACATTATGCTGTGATCAAGAAGTGTCAATGAGTATTTGAAAAACAAACATGTATCACTAGTCCAAAAACAATAAATAAAAGAACATAGACGTTTCAACCTATTGTTTCATGTGAAACAGCAGATCTATTTTTAATAGAGGCAGTAATCATGTTTTTCTTTCTCCATATTTAACTTTTACTAAAGATAGTCTGTAAAAGGTTTCATATTAGGTTAGAATTATATTTAACTATTTTAACAAATTCTACATTCTTTTTTTTTTTTTTTAAAGATTTTATTTATTTATTTGAGAGAGTGAGAATGAGAGAGAGAGAGCACATGAGAGGAGGGAGGGTCAGAGGGAGAAGCAGACTCCCTGCTGAGCAGGGAGCCCGATGTGGGACTCGATCCCGGGACTCCAGGATCATGACCTGAGCTGAAGGCAGTCGCTTAACCAACTGAGCCACCCAGGCGCCCCAAATTCTACATTCTTAAAAAAAATTGGAATAGGGAAATCTGGTGACAATGGATTTATGATGAGAATCACTCCTCCCACTTACTGGTCATCAGTTTTCTAGGCCTCCCTATCCACGAAATGGCATAGTAATGCTGGTCCTAAAGACCTCCCCCACAGTGCTCTAGAAAGGAAGCTTTTTTCATATTCAACACCCACGTGTATGCCTTTATCATGTAATTCCCCCACTTTCTACTAAGGGGTTTATCTTTTTCTTATTGATTTATAGGCCAATATTTCTCATATCATTAATTATGTCACAGAGGCAAAGGCAATAGGAACAAGGAGAAATATACTAAATCCCTACCACTGGAGATACTTAAACATGGGTCTTTGCCAGTCACATACCTTATAGAACAATGATGGTTTTGTTATACTAGACACACTTCACATTATTTAAAGCAAGCAGCTACTTTCTGTGCATGCACCTGGCATAAATTGCACCATCACACACAGACTCACCTTGCTTCTGATCAGGATGCTCACCTCTCCGGACTCTATAATGTAAAAGCTATCAGCCTTTTCACCCTAGAAAGGGAGAGAAGGTTGTCAGAGCTATACATATGTATTGGCGAGGGACACAGACATACATAATGTTCTCATTGCCCTGATTTGTTTTGT